ATTCTTCCTCTTGTTTTCTATTTTCCTTGGCACAGAAGAGGTAAGATTGTGGAGATACAGACCTTTACCATAACTAAGCAAGATTCTTCCTCTTGTGAAAGCTCATTCCCACCCAGTTCTGGTTGAAGAGACATAGAACAGATTGTTATCTCAGATGGGAACAGCTTTTTCCCTTGTTCCTAGAAAACATAATGCTGGCTGAGGTTGTGGTGGGTTTCATATTGTGTAAATGTCTCTCCTGCTAGCAGAGAACTGCCATTTGAGTTCTCACCAAGGCTTCCGTGCAGCCCTAAATGTGAGTCAATTCAGATAATTATATCTTGTATATATGAATGCGGAGTGGAAAGGAAAGCAGTGAAACCTGCAGATCAGTGCATGGTGATGTGTCAGTTCAGAGGTTTGGGGGATAGATCTGCTATTTTATGGCATTTCAATAGCTTCCCAGGCAGGGTGAGGTGACTGCCTTCTCTGCATCAGCCATTCGCTTTTGACTGTCAAAGAGACGAGCAGGCTTGGTAGCCCCTTGCTTTACAGGTTTGGCACATAGAATCACAGAATGGTTTGGGTTGGAAAGGACCTTAAGGTTCCAACCCCCTGCCATGGGCAGAGACACCACACACTAGATCATGTCACCCAAGACTCTGTCCAACCTGGCCTTGAATACTGCCAGGGATGGGGCATTTATCACTTCCATTGGCACCCTGTGCCAGCGCCTCAGCACCCTCACAGGGAAGAGCTTCTGCCTTAGATCTAACCTGAACTTCCCCTGTTTCAGTTTGAACCCATCTCCCCTTGTCCTATCACTGCAGTCCCTGATGAAGAGCCCCTCTCCAGCATCCCTATAGGCCCCCTTCAGACACTGGAAGCTGCTCTGAGGTCTCCACACAGCTTCTCTTCTCCAGGCTGAACAGCCCCAGTGTTCTCAGCCCGGCTCCTATGGGAGCTGCTCCAGCTCCTGAGCATCCTCGTGGCCTCCTTTGGACTTACTCCAACAGCTCCATGTCCTTCTGTTGAGGATACCAGAACTGCACACAGTGCTGCAAGTGGGAGTTTTTATGCCTGCACACCACAACCTAAATGAAATCGGGGTAAAATCCACCACTGCTTTATCTGTTCTTGTGACTTAACAGCCTGCAAACTTCCTCCTTGGCAGCACAAGACGGTCAACGGATGCTGATGGGATCATTTGGAGGAGGAGGAAGGCTATTCCAAAGATGCCTTAAACTTTTATCACCTACTTTATACCTTTCTTTCACCATATGTAGGCTGGTATTCCAGGCTGGAGGGAACTTATTCTGTTGGCTGAAGTTTTAAACTATACAGACACACTGTCTAGGTGACATTGCCATGGTTATGTTATCACTATTATTACATTTCAGCCTTTCAGGTGTTTTATTAGAAGACCTCCAACCAAAACCACCCCAGTAATCCATCAGCACATGGTCTAACCTAACAACAAATCGTGCTTTTCACTCTTTACTCTTTAAGTAACACAAAGCACGCTCTCCTAGGTTAACAGTAAGCTACTACCTACACTGTGAAACTGCAATCCACTTTCCCAGAGCAGATAACGAAGTTGTTAATTATCTGGGCTGCTCAGGAACCTTGTGTTCTCTGCTTGTATTTCTAAAACCTTAGAATAATCAATATTGGACAGTTATCAGCCTGAATCCTTATGGGCCATCAGGGATTGTTTTGCTCATTCTCACTGCCTGTAGACGAGCCCTGCTGTGAGGAAGTTTAGGGCTGTTGTTTGCATAATGTATCAGCCGGTTTAAATGTATGGATTTACCCTTCTCTGATCACAACCAGATAAAACAAGGATCACAGCAGTGGGCCTGACAGCCTACACACATCTAAGCCTTTAAATGGTCATTAGACCTTGCTGCTTGCAGGGGAGGAAGAGCCTCCTTGGGGCTGCACAGAGCGGGAGGATGCCTTGGAAGCTCTGTCCTCCCCACACACGGGTGGGAGCACCCATCCCACATTGTGCAAGCCTGCAGGGACCCGGCAGCTCCTCAGATCAGGCTTCAGGAAGCAGAGCAGCAGAGGAGGCTCCGTGCTGCCAGGAAGCATCAGAAACCCCTTAACGGTGTGCGGAAAGCTGGCACCTTGTTCTGTCAACTGCCGAGCTTGTTCTCTTAGAGCTAAAGGATCCTTTCCTTTCCAAAGCTGGCAGTTTCGCCCGGTTCTGCTGTCACTGTCTACACTTTGTAGTAGCTATCAACAAAGTTTAGGTGTCTGGTTTACATGCTGAGCCTGCCCTGGTTTACAATGCAGTTCAATGTACTATCCCTTTCTTTATGCTTCCGTGAGACGAAGCGGGGTGGTTGGGTTTGGGTTTGAGTTTTCTTTCCTTCTGCAAAGCCAACTCTGTTAACTCTGAAACTGGGCCAGTAACAAAGAGGCTTCCCTCCATCTGCCTGCTCCATCCTTTCCCTGCCCTGATGCCTAAAAACCACAGCTTTCAATGGTTCTGAGAGTCAGTGAGGGCTTTCTGGCTACCATTGGAGCGCTGCTCGAGCGCCAGGAGACATCCCAGCCACTGCTGCAGCCTCAACAGGACCATTTCCTACTGTGAGAGGGGGAAAAATACAGCCTATTTTCAAAGATAGGCTGGAGGCTTGAGCGTAATTATCTTGCCAATCTCTTTTGCCTTCAGTATTATCTATCACCCTGTAGTTTCCTTCCTCCCAGAAAAGCAGATATTAAATTCTACTTTTCTTATGGCCATAAAAGTAATTTTCTCCAAATTATTTCTTCCAGTCCTGCTAAAAACAAGACTGATAATGCAGCAGGACCCCCATCCTCCCAGTAATTACACTCTGGCTCCTCACTCCTTCAATACCCATTTCTCAATTTATTTGGCTTCTGTCTGGAACTGCAGCCACACGCAGAGACGGGGCTCTCTGTCTTCTTATTACACAGACGAAATCGCTTCAAAAATGTAATTAAACATTTACCTTGAAGACAATGCTTTGTCTTCTTTAAGAAGCATGGTATCTTAATTTAACCTCATTTAGAAAACCTTGCTTTTCTAAGCTCCTACCTTCAAGACATTATGCTAAACACCAAGCAAAACAAAAAGAGTTCTTCATTTAACCTAATTAAAAGATAAGCCTTCAACTTTTCCATCAGTGCTGTGTGAAACAAAGAGCTTGGCACAGTCTTTCGGTTTGATCCAAACTGTCTATTTTATTATCCCTCTGCTTCGTTCTCAGCTGTCAATTTTATTATCCTCCTTGATGCCCACAAATCCTCTTAGAAAGCAGCATTCCCCAACCTTTTCAGTCCTGGGCCCATCTGTGAGAAGATCAAGGGACCGCTATCGCAACAGCGGAGGTTTTAGGTTTGGGGGGGTTTAATTGGGTTTTGGTGTTTTCTTTATGAGGCTGATACAAAACGGAGCTTGAGGTCCCCCTGGGGAAGAGGAGGGCTAAGGAGGGTGAAGGATTATTACATTGAGGCCAAGGCGATAGGGGATGGAACAAGGGATGAGGTCTGCTGCTGGTCCCTGGGGACCACTGTTAAACACCCAAGGCAGGGCAGCAGTGAAAGCGCTCCCAGGGCACCAGCGCTCCCAGTGATGGAAGCGGCAGCTGACTGTCGGGGTTCAGGACACATCATCACTGATCCTCAAACAGCTCCAAGTGAGGAGCTCCCTGACCCAGCAATCAGATCCGGCATTCCATCCCCGAGGTGATCCTTACAAAGGAGCACACTAAAGCACAGCGACTCAAGGAGCAGATGACTTCTTTCCTCGCAGCTCCAGCTCCTCACCAGCCTACCAAATGTTCTCTTATAGCTCTTATAGTTTAGTCACATCAGTGGCTGCAGCTCTAACTGCTACCAACCCTAATACTAACCCTAACCCTCAGCCTCATGCTCACGGCACCCAGACCCACCTCTAGTGACCTCCTCCACTCACCCAGCTCTGACCAGTTTCAGTTGCCTTTGGGTGTCCTTTTTTCTCTTCCCTCCTAAGATTTTGGTGGTGTTTGGGGGCTTTTGTGGGTTTTTTTAACATTTACAATCAGAAGTCCTTTGGTTCACCATCTTCCCCTCCAGTACAGCACACCTCAGAGGGAGACTGTCACATTTGGTTACGGCTTGTATGGCACATTGAAGATTAAGGTGTGTGATGAGGCTTTAAGCACTTGGGATCTAGGTGTGCCTCATGGCAGCTGGCTGCGGGCTCGTAAACCCCCAACAGGGCAGTTTTGTGTGCAGAAAGCCCATTCCCAAGCCATTTCCGGGCCCTCTCTGAGGCTCCCGCTCCTCACCTCATGTCAGGCCCCTATGGCCCCCTATGGCCCCCTATGGCCCCCTATGGCCCCCTATGGCCCCCTATGGCCCCCTATGGCCCCCTATGGCCCCCTATGGCCCCCTATGGCCCCCTATGGACACACCACCCCGGTACCCCGAGGGCTCTGACCCTCCGGCTCACGCTGGGCCCCGCGAACGCTCACAGCGAGCGACGAGAGGCAAGGACAGGACCCGCACCTGCGGCCCCGCGCCCCCCGCCCCTGTTTGAAGCCGCCGGACGCCCCCTCCGCCAATGGCAGCGGGACAAGGCGCCCCCGCAGCCAATGGAAGTCCTGCTGGAGGGAAGGGGCGGTGCGGGCGCGCCCCCGGCTGGAGCCGGGCAGCTGTGGTAAACAAGAGGGCGGGTCTCCCGCTTCTCTGGCGTTCAGAGAAGCCAATGGGCGAGCGGCTCGTCCGCCAGACAGCCAATAGCAAGCGAGGGCGGGGCGCGGCTCTGGCGCGAGCGTCACGGCGGGCATCACCCTGTCCACTGATTGGCTGGCGGCGCCCCCGCCACCTCCCCCGCGCGGCCGTTGGCAGGGGGCGTGGCGCGGCGAGGGGCGTGGCCGGGGCGGTGCTGCCGGCGCTGTCGCAGTGAGCGGCGGGTGCGGGCGGGCAGCGGGGCGCTGCGGCGAGGGAAGGCGGGGCGGGAGCCGAGCGGCTCCGTGCGTGCGGGGCTTTCCGGCGGTGCTGCATGGGCAGAGCGGGAGCCGTGCCCCGGGAGCGCGCAGCGCCGCCAGCATCGTCCTCTGGGGTTAGCGGGCACCCGCGGGGCGCGGGCAGCGCTGAGGTGTTACCGCTGCGGGACCCGGAGCGGCTGGGGCTTGCCGGCGGGTGAGTAACGGGGTGGGAGAGCATCGGGAGGGGGGTTTGGCGGCGCCTTCGGGGTCGTGCCCGCCCGGGCGAGCAGGGCTGGGCTGGGGCAGCGCTTTCGGACGCGCCCGGCTGTTTGAGCGTGGTCCCGCGCGCGTTCCTGGTCCGAAAGTTAAGCTCTGTCTCCTCCAGTGCTCATAAGGAAGGGATTGGAGGGGGGGACAGAGGCAGTGGAGAACTCTTTACAGCGAGGCAGAGGATTGGGAGAAGGGGGGAATTTGCCGGGATTTGTTTAGCAAAACCAAAATCCGTTGAATTTTTTTCCTCAAGAAACTTACCCCGAGCCCAGCTTTCTCGTGGCTTGTTATGAGCCGCCCGTCTCCAGCCCCTGACAGCCTGGAGAGCGGCGGAGGGGAGCCCCGCGTTCCCCTCGCTCTGGCCCCTCCGGGGGTTTCCTCGCCGGGTGCGGATCCTCCTCCCGGCTGCCCCTCCACAGGAGACCGGAGCCCTGGGGACGGTGCAGCGCTGGGAGCCGCTTGCAGGCTGCGGACTTGGTGGCAGGTCCGGATATAGGGAAGCCGGGCAGGAGGGTGGGTGAGCGGCTGGGGAGGCAGCAGCTCCTCCGGGACAGAGGCTTACACCGCCGGCTGCATCCGTCCTGGTGCTGAATGAACGCGCTCTTCTCTCCCCCGCCTCGCAGGGATGCTGCAGCATGAACCCACCGCTTAGAGAGCAGCGATCGCGCCGCCTCGGCACCGCTCCCTGAGCCAGCCCGACAGCAGCGTCCGGCGCGGAGCCTGCACGGGGACTGACGCCGGGAGCCGCTCCGCCGCCCGGCTCCGGCGGGATGCGCTCGCCGCCGCCTTCATGCCGGCAGGAGGGACTCTGAGCCGCCGCTCCGCGCCCTGCGAGCCCCTCGGGCAGGGACCCCGGGCAGCGGCGGGGCTCCGGACGGGAGCCGTGCACGCATCGCCCGCCGGCGGCCCCCGGTGAAGGCGCCCGCTGCAGCCGGCACTGAGAGGGGGGCACCCCTGAGCCTTTCGTCGCCGAGACAAGCGGCGCATCCCGGGGTGGCGGCGGGTCCCACCCGGCGGTCGCGATCCGGTGCCCCATGGTGCTGCTGCGGAAGCTGCCGGGCATGCCGGGGTGGCCAACGGCGCTGGGGCTGCGGCTGCCGCAGAAGTTCCTGTTCCTGCTCTTCCTCTCGGGCCTGCTCACGCTGTGCTTCGGAGCCCTCTTCCTCCTGCCCGATTCCTCCCGCTTCAAGCGCCTCTTCTTGCCCCGCCGCGCCACCGCCTCCACCTCCTCTTCTTCCTCCGCCTCCTCCTCCTCCGCCGCTGCCTCCTCCTCCACCCGCGACACCGACCTGCCCCGCAGCCCGCCCGCCGCCGCCGAGCCCCGCCACGCCAGCCCCGCCGCGCCGCGCCGCCTGCGGGAGAAGCTGCGCTCCGCCGCCCGCCCCGCGCCCCGCTCCCGACCGCAGGTGCAAGGCGACGGCGACGGCCGAGCCGAGCCCGCCACCGGCGCTGCCCCCGCGCGGGACACGCGAGCCCCGTTCCGCTTCGACTACGAGCGGTTCCGCCGCAGCCTCCGGCACCCGGTGCGGGGCAGGCGGCCCGGCGAGGACCCCGAGACCCGCGCCCGCAGGATGAAGATAAAGGAGGTGAGGAGCAACCGCGGCATCTCCGTTCTCCTCGCACCCCCCCCCTCGCTTCCCCAGCCGTGCCCCCACTTCCCACACGTCCCCTTTGCGCCCCTTTTCCCAAGGAAGGTGGTGGGAACTGGGGAGGGTCTTTTTCCGATGGGTGTCCCACAGCATCTCCTCGCTGGAAAGGAAAGGCCAGGACAGGCTGTGACCTGAATTTAAAGGGATGGAATTAGGCAAAGGGAAATCTCATCTTGGTTATTAGGGTAAAAAACCATGCTTGGTGGGAGGTGTCTGGGGTTGTGCAAGTGGCCGCCCTGGTGTCTTGTGTAAACCTGTCTGAGCTGCTCTCTGATGAACGTTGTGCTGGTCCATGGGGACGGCGGGATGGGATGTGCCCCTATGGCTGTCCCATAACCCGCTCCAGTGCTTGCTCTGGATGGAGCTGTCCTCGGGCTTGTAACCCACTAACAACAACCCTCCGAGCCCAGGGAATGTCACCAGCAGGGAGGCACAGGGGTGATGGCGGGGACAGGCTGGCCTGGTGCCTACAGCTTGTGCATAAAAGCCTGGCACAAGCAATGCAGAGCAATCTGTGACCCAGTTAACTGAGAGCTATAGATTCTGTGTAGTATTTGATTGTGTTTGTCGTATCTTTTGCTATGATGGATAACCAGCTTGGAGGGAATTCTGGTCTAGAAAGAGCTGCCAGTAAGTAAAATGCATGGATGTAATTAAGCAGAGTATAATATTCCTGGGTTTGCTCTCTCGTAGAGGTGTAGGCATTCACCAGAGTTGCTGCCCCAGGTTGAACAGAGAAGGAAGTCACAGGTAACATGCCGAGGGCTTTCATCCACCATACCCTGCATTCTAAAACCAGGGGCTTTTTAAAGCTCCCCTCCTGGTATCTCTGACCGTCATGAAAACAAAGGCTGCTCCGCTGGTAAAATCCAGCTTCTCTGCCAAACAGACCAGACACAACACACCCGAGGTGCTGGCTTTCTGCATGATCCCAAGCAGGATTGAGCCACCCTGTCCTTCTGCATCTTGGCAGCAGGGTATTCAGAATATTCCAGTCCCCATCCCTCATGTGCTTGGAGTTGTGCAGCGTGTGCTTGAATGTGCTGCATATTCCCACTGTCAAGGTATGGTGGGGTAGCACAGCACACCCATGTATAACCCAGCTTCTACTCTGGGCAAACAAATCGAATTGGAAATCACAGTTCTGAAAGCTAGCGGCACACAGTGCTTTAGTTGTAGTTAATTAGTTTTGAAATATAGGATTATTCCAAGTTGTATGGATTCAGCCCCATCTGTTTATAACAGCCATAATCAGTGCCGGGGAGCAGAGTTAGATTTTTTCAAGGATGAGAATCCATAAGTACTGGGTTTATGCTGACAGCTAATTACTCTTCAAACAGAGCCCTTATTCCTTAAAAGTGCCTCTGCTTCTATTTATGCAGAGCAAGAGAGAAACAAGCACCGTGCTGAGATAGGAGCCTGCATGCGCACAAGGGACGCAAGGTGCAGCCTGTGGGAGGGATAAGGTATGTTCTTTCTTCATGACTCAAAAAGACATGAAGAGAACAAACCAAGAGAGGTTGGAAGACAAACACTGTATAAAAAGAAACAGATGGATAGAAGAAAAACCACCAAGGAAGAAATAAGTCGTGATACAGCATTTGGGCTTAGCAGAGATTCTTCACGTGATGCGAGAGACGCCACCAGGGGCAGGCAGTGGGTTTGCTGCTGTTGGAAGGTGGTGTGTGCAGTAGCTTTTCTCTTCTAGAGCTCTAAGCCCTCGACTTTGATAGAATGTGTTCCAGACTGGCCTGGTACTTAAAGCTTTGCGTTCCCCACCTGCTCTCCTTTAGCCCATTCTTGCAGGTCAGCACCTCTGTAACAGGGAAGATGGATAGGGTTAGGATTTGTTTCCCTCCGTCTGTCTGCCAGAGCCTAGATGAAAGCCAGGAGAAAGAACTGGTGCAGGATCAAAGACTAGGGCTGATGTGCAACCTGGAGGCTTGGATCTTTCTATCTTCTGAGAGGACCCTTCCATCTGAGCAGGCGTCTGCTCTTTCCCACCCAGCCTCTAAGCTGTTTGATGCTTCAGCCAAAGAAGAGGATGTATCATTAGTTTCTTGGCTGTTATGTGTGGAAAGGGTTGGCTAATGTCCTGTTAGACATTTTCTGCTTAGAAGACAGTGCTGCCCAGAGTGGGAAACCCACCACTGTGGTGTCTCCCACTTTACTGCTGCCTGGGAACACTCTGAGCAGTGCTGGGGCATCAGAGCTGTGTGCAGATGGGTCTGGCTGAGGGGTATCTGCCTCACTGGCCATGTGCTTTGACTGCTGTGTTTCCTACTAATGCAGCAAGGAAGAGAGGTGAATTAGGAGGTTGAAATGACTCCTAGAAGCCTGTTACAAGAAGTAAGTGCTGCACTGAGCTGAGCTGTTGTGTGCATGCAGGTATACTGGTTTGCGCTGGTGGCTGACTTCACAGAGTGGCTGACCGCTTAGGTTTGACTTAAAACAATTCCAGAGTCAATGAGCAGTTCTTTTCCTGAGAAGGAAAGAAGAGATGCCCTGTACTGCACAGGCTGCTCACTGCAAAAGGTCATTGGTCACCTGGAGAATTGCCTGGGATGTGCTGCTCCGTGTTCCTGTGGGCAGCCGAGTATCGGCGGCATGCTGACCTTTCAAAGAAAGCTGCAGTGAAACCAGATGACAATCTCCCTATGCTGCAGGTTGGGAAATGTAAAAGGGCCTGGGATTATTCATCCCTTAAAGTGACCTCAGACATGTTTCAGTTGTGCAGTTGATCAGTCAGGCTTGGCTTTGGGAATAGCTGTTGTTTTACACATGCCAAATGGTAATCACTGATGCTCAAGAAAGGATAAAAAGAGAAGGGAAGCGGCTGCAGAAACGCCACAGTGGGATTCCAGAGTTATTTGCTCTCAACAATTTCCAGCTCAGATTGGCTCAGTGAAAAGTCACAATGATTTCCCCTCCAAGTGCCACTGCTCAGAGCTGGGAAAATCCATGTGGTTTCTGCCTTTTGCATCATAATCACTAAAAAAGGTGTTGCTCTTGGAGCTGAGCTGACAGCTTTGCTGATGCTGGGCAAAGCAGAACAGAGTGCTCCGTGCTGTTGCTGTGTTGGCTTCATGGGTCTCACAGGTAGGGAAGTGGTGGGGAGAGAGAGCAGCACTTCCCTGAAGTATTTTTACACCAGCTCTGTTAATGCCACCCGGTGCTTAAGGACAACGGCTGTGACAGGCTGGACCAGAAAGTGTTCATCAGTGGAATTAAGCTTGCGATCTGTCTTCTGGTCATGGGATGATGTGGAGGATGGGAACAGTGAAAGAGATTTACTTTTTTTTTTCTTTCCCTCTTTGGGTGCAAAAAGCAAGTTTCCTTTCCTGGTGTCTCAGAATACCCAATTCCTGATGGTGTCCTTTGTCCCTTTCAAATAAGGGAATATGTCAAATTCAGGCAGGCTTTTAGTCCTCTGCTGGGATAGTAACCTTGGGTTTGACACATGCATTCATTTCCTCCAGACTACTAACACTGAAGCCTATTCATTTTACAATATGGTTCTCTTCATCCTGGCTTTTCTCCTGTCTCCACCTTCCTCTCCCTCTCCTTGCTGTCTCCTGGCCTCTTTTAACACAGCTCTAAAGATGGATTAGCTTTTGAAAACCAGGCCCCAAGGGGAAGAAGTCCATCAGAGGCTGTGCACGCAGCTACCCTGCATCACTCTCCTGTTAAGATTAGCAGCTCCTGGTAAGGTAGATCAGTCTTTCAAACACAAACATATCGACAGTTTGTCACGGAAAGATAATTGGGAAGAAGCAGGAATGTTATCAGGAGCTCAGCTTTTCCGGACAGTTTCTTGGGGCTGACTGCTGCTCCCATTGTGGGGTTTCACAGCCCTGAGCATCCATCCGGGAACATGCTCCTGGTCTTGGGAAACTCTGCTTGTTCTCCTGAGCCTGAGATGCTGCCCTGGTGGGAGAAGTGCCTGGTGGAGTGGGGCTTAGAACAGCTCTCCGGTGAGTTACAAGGGGCCTGTTCGCACACCCTGTGAATCCCATTATTGGTTGTCCTGAGCCATTTCATACCTGAAGCCAGCAGGAGAAAGATTTCAGACCTCTCCCTTCCCCTGCCCTGTGCTACTTGTGTTCCTGGAGATAAAGCCTTTTCGGTCCGTAATCTGGGGATGAGCAGTACTGCAAGCAAATGATGCAGTCCCCCAGTGGCTTCCATCTGTGATTAACACCACAGCACCTCCCCATGCACACCTTTCTCACTGAGATCCATGGAAAACTTTTCTCTGAGAGCATTTCTCTGCACTTCGAGCCCTGGGTGCCTCCAGGCTTGCTGCAATTTTCCTTTGCTCCCTCTTCCTTCTCATGCATTTATTTACTGAACCTTCGCAAAAGGGTTTTCTATACTGCACATCCCTCAGGCTGTGCATCCAGTGTGGGTTTTGCTTCCCCACCAACAAAGTTTAGACCTCGCCTGTCTGAGACTCTTTTGGCTGTAGAGGATGCAGGTAGTGGATGAAAAAACTTATCTGTCCTATCAGCATGATGCACAAGTATAGACAATAGTTCCCATGCTGTGATCGGTGCTGCAGTGCTGTTTGCCTTAGAGGTGCCAATGGCACCTTAGTGCATTTTGGAGTACTGTGAAGACGTTTGTTCTTACCTACAGAATGCAGCAGGAAAGGACTTGTTCCACAACAGCCGAGTTTGGTGCAAGGCTGGTTTATAAACTGACACTTCTAGACAAATGCAGTGTTCACCACACAACGAACTGGCTGGAGTGTGGACCTCTCCGGGCAGGTTCCAGGTAATGCCTGACTGCGTGTGCTGGCTGTGAGGAAACGGGTGTCCAGGACACACACGTGTTGTGCAGAAGGATTTACACCTTGTGAATGCATACAGGCTCTTTGAAAGTTCTCAGCTCTAAAGACAAGGGGTTTGGGCAGCAGGGCTGGAGCCTGGGTACCA